ATACTCTGACCTCCATAAGTGTCCTGTTCATGCGCCATGGGCATGTATGCATGCATACACAAAATAAAAATGTAATAGAAATTAACTTCTTAGTCTTCAAACAGACAAGTGCTTTTATTCCTTCATGAGTATTGGCCACCTGGGCAGACTGGAACCTTCAAGATTCCAGCCTTGGGGCTATCCTGGGCCCTAGATGCCTGAAGGCCACACCTGAGCAGAGCTCAGCTCTTCAGTAGCTCCCTTTCCAGAACAGGACACAGGCAGTTCCCCCAGATACATCAAAATGTTCCTTTAGTGGTGACAGTTCTTGGGTCTCATTTCTTCTTTTCCCGAAGCCTAATCCTTCTAGACCCGTGGTTCTCAACCTTCCTGATGCTGCGACCCTTTAATACAGTTCCTCATGTTGTGGTGACCCCCAACCATAAAATTATTTTTATTGCTACTTCATAACTATAATTCTGATACTGAAATATCTGATATGTAGGATATCTGACATTTGATCCTTGTAAAAGGGGTCTAGACTCTCTAATGGTAATTAGATACCATGGCATTTTACTGAGTGCCAGGTACCAGGTGCTATGAGAATTCAAAGTACAACAAAGCCCTCTCTTGGAGACTAACCACAGGGACTCACAGGAAAGCTGATCCCGGCCTGGCTCCAAGTTCCTCTGTGGAGCAGCTTTTATTCTGTACACACTAGACATTCTCAAAACTCAGGAGAGCACTGGGGCTGCCACTGGTTCCCCAGCACCTGAGGCGCTCAGAATGCAGGACAAAGGAAGGGCAGGTGCTGTGAGGGAGAGATGTTGGCCATATAGACGTGCAGGAAAACCTGGGTCAGGGGAGTGGAATTACAGCTGGTGAGATGGCTGGGGGTGGGGTAAAAGCGCTTGTTCCCGGAAGCCTAATGAGCTGAGTTCACTCCTCAGAACCCATGACAGAAGCTTCTACAGTGCTGTCCTCTGATCTTCACTCACCGTGCGTGTGTACACACACCCCACACATACCCTAATGAAAGATACATTTGAGGGGTTGGGGATTTAGTTCAGTGGTAGAGTGCTTGCCTAGCAAGCACAAGGCCCTGGGTTCGGTCCTCAGCTGGGGTGTGGGGTGGGGTGGGGTGGGGTGGGGGGGTGGGGGGATAATTTGAAAAGTGGAATGCAAAGCGCTGGAGGCAGGGCAGCATTCCTAACTTTCCAGAGAGAGGCTATAAAACCCAAGAGTCAGCATTCCACACCGAGCTAGGAAAATGTCTGTATTTGCCTAGCAGGAGCACAAAGCCCTGAGCTCAGTAAAAGTGAAGTTGGTTGGCTGGTTGGTTTGCAGGCAGAGTCTCAGGAATTTCAGACTGGCCTCAATATATAACCAAGGTGAGCATCGCCACACGCGCTTCATGTGCTTCTGAAGCGCAAACCCAGAGATCCTTGCATGTGTATTGGAGCTAAGTGCTCCATCACCTGAGCTGCACTCCCAGCCTTAAGGTAGCTTTTGTTCTTAGTAAACTGATCTCACTGCAGGGCTAGAGTACATACTATCAGACCCTAGGGAACCGCCCTCACCTCAAAACAGACGGTTTCAATAAACATTCATGCTCCAAAAGACATCCAGCGCTTTCCTATTTTCGAATCATCCCAGCAGGTGTTAATGCTGTAAACTGCCTTGTAAAGCAGACTTCCACAATGCTGGCTGCTGACACTGGTGTGGGACAAGGAACAGGTGGTCTTAAAACTGCTCTGACAGCCAGGTATGGTGGCGCACACCTTTAATGACAGCACTTGGGAGGCAGAGGCAGAGGCAGGCAAATCTCTGTGAGTTCGAGGCCAGCCTGGTCTACAGAGTGGAAAGTGGAATGGTTTCTAGACTCTGTGGTGAAGGGCACTGGCTGTTCTTGCAGAGAACCTGGGTTCCATTCCCAGCACCCACATGGCACCTCACAACTGTCTGTAACTGCAGTTCCAGGGGACCCAATGCCCTCATCTGACTTCTATGGGCGCCAGGCATGTATTTGGTACACATACATTCATGCAGGCAAAATACTACACACGAATTAAAAAATAGATCTTTAGTATCTCTGTGAGTTCTAGTCTATACAGCGAGTTCCAGGACAGCCAGGGCTACACAGAGATACCCTGTCTCGAAAAACAAACAAAAACTTTATAAAAGAGAAAAAGGAAAAAGAAACTGGAATAAAATTCCAAATCCTTACTGAGAGTTGTAAACTCTGTGGAACTGTGTAAGCAGGCTTCAGGTTTTCTCCAAATTTGACTCTCCAAGGCTTCTGCCTATTTGCCTGGGAACATCTTTTCCTTGGCTCCTTGGAGTCTCTGGAAGTACTGTCCCTTTTCCATCTAGCTTCCCACAGCATGCCAATCCTTTCCTTATAGTTTAGCCACAATTTACATATGTGTATTTTTTCCATTTCCTTTCTCTATCCCAAACCCCCAAACTCATGAAGCAAGGACTACTTCAGCACCCGGAACAGTGCCCTCACACAGTAAGTGTCCAGTATTTTTCAAGTTCATTTTAAAAATGGGTACTGGGGATGGCAAGATGGTCAGTGGTTAAGAGCATTTGTAAACTCTGGGTTTGGGTTCCAGCACCCACATGGTGACTTACAACCATCTGTAACTCCAGTTCCAAGGAATCTGACCTCCTCAGGCACCAGGCACATACATGGTACACATAAAGACATGTAGGCAAGATACTCACACACTTAAAATAAAACAATCTTTAAATTTTTAAATTATAAAATAATAAAAATGGGTTCTGAAGTCAGATGCATGCCTTTAATGCCAGCACTCCAAGGCAGAGACCGGTTGCTCTCTGAGTTTGAGGGCAGCCTTGTTTACACAGTGAGACCCTGTGCCCTCCTCCCCCAAAAAGGAGAGGCTTCTTCAGAGACTGGAGAGACGGCTCAGTCGGTAAGGTGCCTGCCTTGCAAACATTAGAACCTGAGTTCAGATTCCCCAGGACCCATATAATAAAGCTTGGCATGATGGTGTCTGTAGTGCTAGCGCTGTGGGTGTAGGGCATCAGACAGAGACAGAAGGATGCCAGGAACTGAGCTCATCGATCACTTCTGGGTTCAATGAAATACTCCCTTAAAAATACAGCAATCGCGGGCGGCAGTGGCACACGCCTTTAATTCCAGCACTCGGGAGGCAGAGGCAGACAGATCTCTGAGTTTGTGGCCAGCCTGGTCTACAGAGTGAGTTCCAGGACAGCCAGGGCGACACAGGGAAACCTTGTCTCAGAAAACAAAAAACAAACAAAAAAGGTAATCAAATAATTAGTCCTGAGGTATCCTTTGGGAACCTATCCAAGAATTGAATCCATTTCGGGCTTCTGTCAAAACTTCTCCTTCTGTCTTTCTGGAGCAGCAGTTCCGCCTGTCGTCACTCCAAGTATATAGAAACCTAAGCCTGGAAGACGGCTCCATTGGTAAAAGTAGTTGTTGTCAAGATCCTTAACACAAATTTGATCTCATGAACCACATAGTGGAAGGAAAGACCTGACTTTCCCACGTCTTCCATGCACATGCCTCCATTCCACAAACAAAATGAAAAAAAAAAAAAAGAGCATGCCAAAGGAAGCCAGCTGATACTCACCTCAAACCATACATGCACTGTGCGATTATTCATTTGTGCACATACACACAAAACCACATCCAAACATACACCTAGACACACATACATGAAAGAAAAATGTTTAAGTGGGTTATTGATGGCTGGGTTGGGGCTCAGTTCGGAGAATGCTTGCCTAGTATGCATAAAACCCTGTGTTCAATCCCAAGCACTACATAAGTTGGTGGTGGTGGTGCATGCATGTTATCCTAACATTCAGGGAGGCTGAGGTAGGAGGGTCAGAAGTTCACGATTATCCTGGCTATATACTGAGCTATATGGTGATTTTCAGGCTAACCTGGGAAACATGAGATCCTATCCCAAACAAGCAAGCAAACAACAAAAAACGAAGAAGAATCCTTGGGGGTGTGGTCAATGGGTGGGCACATGCCTCTCATCCCAGCACTTTGGAGGTAAGGCAGGATGATCAGGAGCTCAAAGTTATCTTTTATTCCATAGAGAGTTTGAGGCCAGCCTTAACTCATGTTGAAGATACCACATGGGGGTTAAGTGCACTTGTTACTCTTTCAGAGAACTTGAGTCTCCTACACACATGTCGGGGGGCACACACATATACACATATTAAAAAAACAAAAACGTTAAAAGGAAGGGTGCCAGCCAGGCATGGTGGCACACGCCTTTATCTGTTGTTGTTGTTTGGTTTTTTTTATTTGTTTTTGTTTTTTGAGACAGGGTTCCTCTGTGTAGCTTTGGAGCCTTTCCTGGAATTCACTCTGTAGACCAGGCTGGCCTCGAACTCACAGAGATCCGCCAGCCTCCAGGCTCTGCCTCCCGGGTGCAGGGTTTAAAGGCATGTGCCACCACGGGCCGCCTTTGAATCCGTACTCCGGAGTCAGAGGAAGGAGAATCTCTAAGTTCGAGGCCAACCTGGTCTACAGAGTGAGTTCCAGGACAGCCTGGGCTACACAGAGAAATCCTGTCACGATAAAAAGGAGGAGGGCGAAGAGGAGGAGGAGGAGGAGGAGGAGGAGGAGGAGGAGGAGGAGGAGGAGGAGGAGGAGGAGGAGGAGGAAGGTACCCTCTTAGGTACACACAGCTCCCCGTATCCGTTTCTGAAAGTTCTCAACGGATCCTTCATCAAATCACCCTAGTTCAGCTCTTGAGTCGCTTCTCTTCAACTGTGTGTCTTGCAAACTTGCGGTCTTCGCCCCGGCCAATAACAGATAACTAGATCACTTACCCTTCCAACGTCTCGTGTTCCCAGGGCTGGGCCCTCACCCCCTTTCCTCACCAAGCCATCCTTCACGCCCTCGGGCCAGAGCCCGCCCCGCCTGTCCATCACTCCAAGCTCTGCCACACCTGTCCCCCATCCTCATCCCGCCTCCGCCTGTTACCTCCCTGCCTGGGCGCCCGCACCTGGCCTGAGCCTCGTCCAGGCTCTGGTCGGTGATGGCCATGATCTGCTGCAGGGACGTCGCTCGTGTCACGGCCCAGTGGAGCTGCGGGGCGCCCCGGCGGCGCGGGGGCGGGCTGCGGCGGCACGGGACGCAGCGGGGGCGGCCATGGGCGATGGGGCCGGGCAGCGCGGAGGGACAGGTCCTGCCCAGAGTTCTCGCGCGTGCGCAGCAGCCAACCGCCGCAGACCAGGCGCCACGCCCCCCTCACGCCCACTAGCCAATCGCCGCTGCGTACCGCCCACGGAAACGCCCTGCAGGCGCCTTTTCACCAATGGGCGCGGTGCAACCGCTCTCTCCCCGCCTGACGCGCCCTAAACAGTCTTTTCAACGGATGCTGAGGAACCGGTTGAGGGTTGTCTAGGAAACAGAGATTCTCTTCGGCATCCTCCCCCCAGGACACGCCCCCCCGCGGGCGCCGTCACCAACCCCCACGCACTGTTCCCCCTTCCCAGCGACTGGTTAGAAACTAGCCTTCTCAACTGCCACCGAGACCTAGTTGAGAGTTGCCATGGTAACGATGACCACCTGCATTTGCTTAAGTCTGGTGCACTTTATGGCTCCAGTCCCCATCAGAGGCCCACACTCCTTGGGTGTTCCAGTGCCTCTGCCTTCTCTCTGGTCCCCGGGTCGGCTCAGGTTCCCACTTCTTCACAGGGCCCAGGTTCTTTGCAGCCCCCCAGAACCCGCCCCCCTCCAATCTCTGAGTTTCCTTCCTCAGAGGCCTGCATCCTCACCGCCTCCACTTCCTCAGAACTTTTCAAAAATTTGTGGGTGGACATGGTGGCACATGCCTTTAATCCCAGCATTTATAGAAGAAGCAGATCTCTGTGATTTCAAGGCCAGCCTAGTCTACAAGTGAGTTTCAGTACGGTCCTGGGCTATGTACAGAGACCTTGTCTCAAAAATAAATAACTTGCGACAGAGTCTCATGTAGCCCAGTCTGGCCTCAAATTTGTTATGTAATGAAAATTGACTGAATTTGCTAGTGCAGCATGATTCAAGCTTCTGGTTTTCTGCTTCTACCTCCTAAGTGCTGGGATGCCTGATGTGCGCTACAAAGTCTTATTTGTGTGGTGATAGGAATGGAATCCAGGGCTTCGTGCATACCAGGCAACCACTGTACCAACTGAACTACACCTGTTTCCTAGTTTTTTCAACTTGTTGAGACAGGGTCTGGTATAGCCCAAGCTGACATCAAATTTACTAGTAGCAGAAAATGCCCTGGAGCTCCTCAGAATTCCCACTCCCCAGTCCTGCCTCTTCCTCAGGGCCTCCCATACCTGAGTCCCAGGCTCCTCAAAATTCTGGCTCCTTTTCAGTCCTTCCCACCAGTCCTGAGGGCCCCTCCACACCTTTCTCAGAACTCTTCAGACCTCAGAGCATCAATGTCCCCTGTCATGTGACTTTTTCTGGGGGGAGCCACCCCTGATAAGAGGGTAGCCTGACCAAAGAAACAATTTCCCTCACGTCCAGTTTTGTGAAGCAGGGACTTTATTGAGGTTTACAGGAGTATGGGCAGCCACAGCACTGAAGTGTGTCACTCACACTCATTGTGAGGACAGGGGCTCCATGTATCCTCTTTCTACAAGAGCACATTAGTGGTCCAGTCTTGTGAGGTCCTGTGTGAATGAACAGCTGCTGAGTCAACATGGTAGTGGCCATATCCAACCTGGAGGGATAGCTATACAACTGTTCCCCACAATCGTGGGCCCCTGTGGGGTCCCTTCTGGCTGGTCCCCAGAACTCTGTTTCCTCTATCCCCCTTATATCTGGCTGAGAGGCCAGATGAAATGTGTAGATATGTGTAGATGGCCAGAAGGAAGCTAGAATTGAACACTTTTCTCCACTAAAGTCAGCTCTGTAAATTGTTTTAGCAAAATCCAGTTTAGGAACGACCTCAACCTGTCTGTTCTTTTAAATATTCTGTCGTGTGTGTGTGTCAGCGCAGACACGTACGTGTGGAGGTCAGAAAACAACTCTCAGGACTTGGTGCTCTCCTACCATATGGACCCAGGGATTGAACTCGTGTTGCAGGCTTGGCAGGAAGCACTTTACCTGCTTGTCTTAGGCCTGTTCATTCCTTCCAACCCCAGCATTCCAGGTCTAGCAAATGCCAGCATGTGTCTAAAAAAAAAAAATGAATGCCTACTCTTGGGCATACCCCAATGAGACAGAACTGTCCACAGGCCTTTCGTTTGGGATTCATGACATGACAACAGGCTCCTCAAGAGAAAGAGGAAGGGACACAAATCTCTCTGCAAAGTCCCAGAGCCGCCCAGAATCTGTTGGATCTGCGACAGAATTCAGCTGAAGGCTTGGGGAGGGTTAGCATGGCTGGAAAGCCCATCATCTTTGTTCTGTCAAGCAGCTGGTCGGGGATGGTGAGACCTGCAGGGCGCCCGGCAAGAAATGCAAAGGATGAGGGAAACGGTCTGGTGAAGGAAACCATAGGCTTGGCCCCAGCAACAGGAAGTAACAGAACCTTTGCAGGGGGGCGAGGGTGGTGCCCTGTACAAAATGTCAGCCCGTGGTGCAGCACCACGCAGGCCTGATTCGGTGGGAAGGGAGGGAGAGGACTGTAAATTCCAGTGGTCTAAAAAGACAAAAACCTGATGTCACCCAGCAGAGGAGAAATCAAGCTGGGCTGGGGGAGGGGAAGGATAAGCAGCTAATGTGTGAAGACTAGAGTTCAGAACCGCAAAAACCCACATAAATGCAGGTGTGGAGTGACCCACTATAACTCCAGCCTTGAAGGGCAGTGACAAAGGACTCCCCAGGACAGCTGCCCAGTGAGACAGTCTGGGTTTGACTGAAAGGCCCTGCTTCATTGAGCCCCCAGCCATGATTCCTGACACAAACCTACTTCCACATGTACACAAAGATACAAAAACACCCCCCCTTCGTGCAAACATATGCACACGGCTAGGCACTCTCTAATCCCAGCTCTCAGAAGGCAGAGGCAGGTGGATCTCTAAGTTCGAAGCCAGCCTGGTCTACAGATCGAATTCCAGGACAGCCAGGACTACACTGAGAGACCCTGTCTCAAACAAACAAACAAACAAACAAACAAACAAACAGAAACAAAAAACATAACACTTATAAAGTGGAAGAAGGAAAGAAAAAAAAAGGTGACAAGTCCCTCCACACAACCTGGACAATGATGATGGAGGACAGACCTAAGTACAGGTGAGAGAGCTGATCATTAGGGGGTCCCAGAGGATTGGATTGGCTGCCTCAATACCCAAAGAGACACAGGTCCAGCAGGCCTGGAACTCCATGGAATTGGGGACAGGGTCCTTCATGGACACCTGGCAGTTCCTGGGTTGTCACCAGAGAAACTCTGGCTGTAGGTGCACACTGCTCACATTAGATCAAGAACTACCCAGCCCTTCAGCTCAGTCTGTGTCCACTCAGAGGCAGGGATGGGCATTTTCCCTTTGGAAATGGTTCCTGTGACAGAGCTCTGTGGTGGGGAACTGCCTAGTGTGTGCAAGGTCCCAGCAGGGGGAAAACAGAGAACATTTACTGTAGAGACAGAGATGTTTTTAGTTCTTTGGAAACGGATGCTTTAATGCCTGAAGAATTTGACTTCAGATAAGACAGAGGTTCAAATTCCTGCTGTTGCTCGGCATGTGGATCCAAAGTGAGACTATAACTCTGACTGCTCTGGTGAGGTGGGGCAGGGAACCATGCTCATGGTCCACACTGACTGCCAGGGGCTTCGCTGGGAAGAGATAGGGCTCATCTTAGGCCTGGCATATCTGGGGCCTTGGGGGACTAAGGAGTAGAAAGTCCAGGTAAGCTTGTGACTTAATTCCAGGCTCCATGGGACACGGAAGCCCCTTCCTTGGGGAGTTTTCTGTCCCTCTTGGCATATCTGTGACATTTCCAAGCTGTGGAGTCAGACACCGGCTCCATCTCCACATGCTGTCTCGGGCTTGTCATCCCAGCATCAGGAAGCAGAGGCAGGAAGACAGCTGAGAGCTGAAGTTAGCCTGAGCTACACAGTGAGTTCTAGAATGGCCTGAGCTATGTGTGAGATCCTGTGTCTCAAAATAATAATAATAATAATGATAATAAAATAATAACAATACTGGGGGTGGCAGGTTGAAGGAAAAGGCTTACAAAAACCAGAACTCACCCTGGGTGCTTGAAGAGAGAGACAGGTAGAAGGACAGTCGACAGAAAAAAATGACACAAGACTCCAGGAAGAGACAGCAGCCCGGATGGTAGTGCACAGTTCTAACCCAAACACACAGGATTCGCAGGCAGGATGGATGCAAGTTCAAGGCTAGGCCTAAAAAAAAAAAAAGCCGGGCGGTGGTGGTGCACACCTTTAATCCCAGCACTCAGGAGGCAGAGGCAGGCGGATCTCTGTGAGTTCGAAGCCAGCCTGGTCTACAGAGCGAGTTCCAGGAAAGGCGCAAAGCTACACAGAGAAACCCTGTCTCGAAAAACCAAAAAAAAAAAAAAAAAAAAAAAAAAAAAAAAAAAGAGGTGGTGGGGTGGGGGGAGGGGAGTGGGTGCAGAATAGGAATGAAATCAGGGCCAGGGGATTCCATGTCGAAGGATTCTCGACAGCTCTGAGCCATGATAGATAATTCCAGGACACAGGGGCAGATTGTCTGAATTAATGGCAAAAAAAAAAAACAACCAACCAAACAACCCTGGCAGCCTCAGAGTGGAAAGGCTTGCCCTGTACAATGCTGTCCCTCCATACTAATAGAGGCAGGTGAGCCTTCAGAGGCTGCTCAACACTCCCAAGGAGTCAGCTTCAGTACCAGCACTTGGGAGGTGGAGTTCAAGGCCATCCTCAACTATACAGTGAGTTCAAGGTCAGCCTAGGCTACATGAGATCCTGTCTCAAAAACACACACACAAACTAGCCTCAGGAAGATGTCACACCTATAGCCTCTAACAGTGGGTGGTGCAGCCTGGGACCGCTCTCACCTCTCCCCCTGAACAACACCTAGAGCACCACGTAGGAAGAACCAGTCCACAGGACATGCCAGAGATATTCAGTAAAGCTATGAAAATGTCTGTTAAAAAAACCCAAACAACTAAAACCTGAGATGATTGAGAGTCAGATTGCCAAGCCCCTTTGGATGCTCTCCCATGTGCATGGAGATGTCCCCAAATCCCTGTGCCCAGAGGCAGGCAGATCTGTGGGCTTGGGGAGTATGGAGGGGCCATGCATCTGCTGGGCTGGATGGAGTCAGAACTGCAAGTGGCCATGGGGTGCAGAAGACGATGCTCTGGCTGCCCATCTCCTGCCTCAGTCCAAGGAAGCTAAAGGGTGGAGTCCATCAGTGGGTGGCCATTCTCAGGAAGCATGATTCGGGTACTGGCACCCATCTGGGCAGAAGACGAGTGGGCAGATTTGTGGTTGGACCAGCGGAGGCACATGCAGCAGAGGAGGCGGCGAAAAGTGCGGCGCATCTCGGCATCTCGGCAGGAGTACACCACTGCATTGACCAGTGAGTTGGCCTCAGCCAGGAGCAGGAAGTACTTCTCCACAGCCAGGACATTGCAGGATTTACAGTCCAGACCATCTAGGAGCAGCACCACCTGGCCTGGTGTCCAGCACACCACGAATGCCCCTGCAGGACAGAGGCGGGGAGTTGGGTGGTGGGGTGGGGGTGGGGTTGACGATGGTGAGCCACCAGGAGACTTGTCTGCACCGCTCTGTGCTCAGGCATATACCACACAAGCTCCCTGTAGGGGCAGAACTGCTAGGAGAGGAGAGACACTTTTCTCTAATTTACCTGCCAGAGGGATTCCTTTCCTAACTGGGATAAAGTAGCCCAGGGCCCCGGAACCTTCTATAGGAGATTTGTTCACTAAAGGATGGGACAGGAGTTCATCATGGGACAGGCTGGTTACCCAGGAATCACTGGGCAGAATCAATCCTGGACCAGGAACAGATTTTCTCCTATGCTAAAAGCCTCAAAGAGGGACTTATTGCTAAGACTGAGGACTCAAATCCAATTCCCAGGACCCACGTGGAGGAAGGAGAAAACTAATTCCCAGACGTTGTCCTTAGACCTCCACAGACCTCCACACTGAAGTGCATGTGTACACACATCTGTGCACACATACACAAAATAAATGTCAAAAAAAATTCATTTTATTGTCGGGTGGTGGTGGTACACACCTTTAATCCCAGCACTTGGGAGGCAGAAGCAGGCGGATCTCTGTGAGTTCGAGGCCAGCCTGGTCTACAGAGTGAGTTCCAGGAAAGGCACAAAGCTACACAGAGAAACCCTGTCCAAAAAAAAAAAAAAAAAAAAAAAAAACCCCAAAATTTATTTTATTTACATGTGTGTGTACGTGTGTATGAGTGTAAGCCAGATGCATGTAGGTACTGTCCTGAAGGCTAGAAAAGGACATCAGATTTCCTGGAGCTAGAGTTGCAGGTGGTTATGAGCTGTCTAATGTGGGTATTGGGAATTGAACTTGGGCCCTCTGGAAGAACAGAAAGTGCTCGTAATCACGGAGCCATTTTCTAACCCCCAAAAAGGGGGTCAAACTCCAAAGGGGAGCCAGGTGTGGTGGCACATGCCCATCAACCCAGGGAAATAGACACAGGAGGGTCAAGGAGGGCTTCAGGACCTGCCTTAGCTACATATAGAGTTAAGGTCAGCCTGGACTCCATGAAACCCTGCACTAAAAATATAACCAGCCAGGTGGCGGCGCACACCTTTAATCCCAGCACTCGGAAGGCAGAGGCAGGTGGATCTCGGTGAGTTCGAGGCCAGCCTGGTCTCCAAAGTGAGTTCCAGGAAAGGCTCCAAAACTACACAGAGAAACCCTGTCTCGAAAAACCAGGAAAAAAAAAAAAGTCTGGTGTGGTGGTGCACATTTTTAATGCCAGCACTTGGGAGGCAGAGACAGGCAGATCTGTGTGAGTTTGAGGCCAGCCTGGTCTACAGAGTGAATTCTAGGATAGCCAGGGCTATGTAGAGAGACCCTGTCACAAAGAACTAAAGCAAACACCTCTGTGTAGGCTGGCTGAAGGGGCATCTACTCCTCTTTGGAGGCTGCCTGGTCCTGCCACTGGCTGTTCCTCTTTTATCCTCTTTTCCTTCCCCTACATTGAAGACCATCTCCCTGGAGAACATCCCTCCCTTCCTGCCAGTTTCCCAGGGTCCTATGGAGGTAGGGTCCCTGAAGCTGCTGTCAGAGCACCCACTCACCCAGGATGATGACAACAGTCTTGACTAGGTTGAGTGTCGTCTCTCGGTAGCGGGGATGGCAGCTGACGTGCTCCGCCATGCGTTCCACCCGTCTACGCACGTAGAAGAAAATGCGTGTGTAGACGGCTACCATGAGCAGGAAGACAAGCAGGCTGGACAGGGCCCACACAGCCAGGTAGGAGCGGCTGAACAGGGGCACCATTCGTGAGCAGCTGTCCAAGTCACAGAGGCAGTGCCAGAAGTGTGCAGGCAGCAACCCCAGGCCCAGAGCAGCCACCCACACACCCACAATGAGTGTGACCACACGGCCCCGGGGCAGGCGGCTGTGTAGCTGCACAGCCATCACGCTACGGTGCCGCTCTACAGCGATGGCCAGCAGTGTGGCCACTGATGCCGTCAGGCTGGTGTCCAGCAGGCCCTGTCGCAGGAACCAGCCTTTGATGGAGAGCCTGGCGGTTCGTGGGCCAGTATGGAACATGAGGAAGAGGTAGGCCATGCCAGCGAAGAGGTCAGCGGCAGCCAAGTTGCCGAGCAGGTAGTATATGGGCTGGTGGAAGCGCCGATTGGAGGCGATGGCTGCAATAACCAGCAGATTGGTGAGCAACACCAGTACACTGACTGTCAGCCCCAGAGCCACCACCACCACATCCTTGGGGCGCCAATGAAGGCTGAGCTCCTTGCCACTGTTATTATAGAAAAAGCCGATGGTCTCATTGTAGTAGCACTGACCCATGATGACCACCTGTGGATATGGAAAGAGAGAAGTCAAGGGAGGCATGAACAGGCAGTGGTCAGAGGCAAGAATCAAGATTGGGTGAGTGCAACCCACAGACTCAGAGGCCCTCTGAGCAAGGTGTCCGTGGTGAGAGCCAGAGTGACCTAAAATTCACAAGCTCTGTTTATCTACTCATAAAGCAGGGTCTCACTATGTATCCCATCTGGCCCAGAACTCCCTGTGAGACCAGGCTGGCCTCAAAATCACAGAGATCCGCTTGCCTCTGCTGAATGCTGCCATGACAATTTTTAAAAGGATCTCCGATCAGCGGGGTTTTTCTGTTTGTTTCTTTTTTTCTTTTTTAAAATCGGAAGAAACCACAGCCAATGTATCTACATTGCAATTCAGGGCCTCGTGCTACCAATCTGCAACCAGATTGGACACCTGTGGTTTCCGAGGGGCGTGGGAGGGTTGGCTGGGGCAGCACAAAGGCGGTGTGAGCTGCAGGGGCAGCTTGAAGATCACACTGGTGCCAGGGTCCTTGCACGGTGCAGAGGCCAGGGGGCGTGTGCACACCAGAGCCAGGTTCCTAGTCAGCACCGGAGGGCAGTGCCAAGGCACAGAGGTGACTAAGCGTGAGCAGAGTAGACAAAACGCCCCAGAAGTTGAGTTACAGGCAGGATTCCGATCAAGAGCTCTGGAAGCTGGCCATTTCGCGGTGGGACGGAGGACCAACAGGCCTCCGGGACAAAAGAGGGTGTTGCAGACAACTCTAGGCTAGAGGAAGGGTTGTGGAGAAGGGGCGCGCCTCACTCTCTCTGGAAGCCTGCACCCACCCTGGTCCGGTTGGTGCTCATCTTACCTGGGCCTCTAGTCAAGCGGCAGATGGGGCGGGCTCGCAGGGGGTCGAGACAGGACTAAGACCCATGGCCCTGCTATGGGGCGGTTGCGCAGCTGCGTCCGGTGTGCTTGGAGCCCCAGGCCGAGGAGGCGGGAGAGGCGGGCCCTAAGGCCACGCCCCTACCTGCCCCAGCTCCTGGCCCCTGGGGGTGTCCCGCCCCCTAGAGCGTACCACCCCCACGTCGGAAGTACGGTCTTCTGAAACTGCGGCAGTCCCACCTCCTCCCTACAGCCCCGTTTTCCCACGTGGGACACCTCTTCCACTCCGTCTCCCGCGCACCTCACGTGCTTGCCCTTTCGCGCCTTTGGGGCTGAGTCACCTGGCAGCTAAAAAGATCCGCAGTGGTGGCCTCTGGGGCGCCCCCCTGTTCCTGTCCAATCCTGTACCGAGCTGCAAGCCCCGCCCTGCCGTGGTCAAACTGGCGGCTGGACCCCCGCCCTACTACTGCCATGACACCAGCAAGCGACCCAGACCCTGTGGGCCACCCTGGCTCCCCGTGGTCTCCCCTCAGCCTGCCACTGGCTCTGGCCTGCAGCCTCCTCCCCTGGCCTCCCCCGTCCGTAGCACACAGCCCCATTGTCCCGATTATCTGCACCGGGTTGTATTTGATTATGTAGAACCGGATCAGGGACACAGAGCTCTCTGGCAGGGCCTGCGTGACTCATCTGGGGCTCCAGGCCTGAGCCTGTGGGTTTCAGAGGGTGGTTTTTAGAAGCCTTGGTTCATCAGGTCAATAATAAAGGGGTAAAAGACACTGCTGTTACTGGTGACCTCATCTTTGTCAGCCTTCCCTAGCAAAGACAGATGTGCAAGAACATGACAGGATTTTTTTTATTTTTTATTTTTTGAGACAGAGTTTCTCTGTGGTTCTGGCTGTCCTGGGATTAACTCTACAGACCAGGCTGGCCTTGAACTCAGAGATCCGCCTGCCTCTGCCTCCTGAGTGCTGGGATCAAAGGCATGTGCCACCACTGAACAGTGGACTTTTTTTTTTTAATTAAAATTTAATTTTAAGCCGGGCGGTGGTGGCGCACGCCTTTAATCCCAGCACTCGGGAGGCAGAGCCAGGTGGATCTCTGTGAGTTCGAGGCCAGCCTGGGCTACCAAGCGAGTCCCAGGAAAGGCGCAAAGCTACACAGAGAAACCCTGTCTCGAAAAACGAAAAAAAAAAAAAAATTAATTTTATTTGTGCATGTGCCTGTTTATGTGTAGAGGTCAGACATTTTGCAGTAACTGGCTCCCTCCTTCCACCATGTGGGACTGGAAGATCCAGCTAAGATGGGTGAGGTTTTGTAACAAGCACCATTTGCTCAGGTATCTCACCCGCGGCAGGATATGGGTTTGTTGTAAGAATCCTGACTTGGCCAGCACTTGGGAGGCAGAGTATTTCTATGAGTTCTATAACAATCTGGTTAACATAGGGAGTTCCAGACCAGCCAGAGCTACACAAGACAGTGTCTCAACAATGAAAGAAAGACGTAACAGAAGGTGACAGGGCTGAGCCACACCCACCCACCCACCTGGAATCTGTCAAGGAGGCAAGAGGCAGCAGGGCCAGGAGCCATTATGATCAAAGTGGTCAGACATCTGTCTCAGAGGTCAGAGACTGGAGCAGACCCCAAGGATCTTTGGACCTGTGTTGACCATTGAGTATTGATCCTGAATCACCTGTGTGCCTGTGTTGCCTTGCTGTTTTAACCTCCTCTAGCAGGGAGATGTTGAGACAGCAACCAAGTGTCTTAGGATTTCCCCAAGATGGGTGGTCTTCCTTACTCAACTCTGGTAACCTCATCCCTCCCCACATCCACTGACTTGGTTTGGTCACCAGGTGGGGCAGGTCGGTAGATATATAGGGCCATCAACTCAGTCCTGGGTCCCACAGGATGGTGGGTGATCAGAGATGCTCCTCAGATTCCTCAGGCTCAGCATCAGCACAACAAGTGGCCCTGGACACAGACTCACTGTCCAGCTTGGAGAGTAGCCGGGCCGTCTCCTGGGTGATCTCAAAGTGCTTGGGCAGAGGGTTCCGGCGCAGGGGGCTGCCTTCAGGGGAGGCACCAGCAGGGCCCAGGCTTCGTCCCCTCAAACTACCTCTGTGCACTGTTGAGACAGTGACAGGAGTCTCCTCACACAGCTTGGAAGCCACCAGAGCCAAGCTGGACAGTTGATGAGTGACTGGTCGTACACCCCCCCGGGAATACTTCACTGGCTGGCGGCTGAAGTGGCCCCGAGATTGTGTTCCCAGGAGCAAGTCCTCAGGGTTGTGGGTGGACCCTGTGGAGTGATGAATGCTAAGCATCCCCGAGTTCTCACAAGGTACCCCCAGGAGTGACCTGTCAGCCAAGCAACCCTGGGGCAAAGAGAGTGCTCCCCAGGACACTCACCTTCCCCTGCCCCATCTCCGGTGCTTTCCACCTCCTTCTCCTCCCTTTGGTCCCTCTGCAGAGTTGCAATCTGCAGGAAGAAACCCAGAATGTGACTCCCCACAGTAAAATCCCTGTTTCGGGGTCTGTGGGGGTGGCTCAGTGGGTCGGAGGATTTGCTGTGCAGGTGTGAGGACTGTAAAAGGTCAGGCATGGCTGGGAGAGCTTGTAACTACTATTTTATGGGTTGGAGGCAGGGGTCCTGGGAGCTCATGGGCATGCCAGCCTAGCTGAACTAGTACGCTGCAAGTTCAGTGGGTGACCTTGTCTCAATACACACTGTCTGTACGTAGCCAGTGCTCATCTGTTGCCCACACTCTGTGCTCATGGCAGCTAGCACAGCCATCTGGCTAACCTTCTTTTCCAGTGCTAGGAACCAAACCCAAAGCCGCACACATGCTAGACGAGCACTTTGCCACTGAGGTTCATTTGCAGCTGGTCCTTGCTTCCTTCCCATTTCCCTACTCATTACAGTACAGGACTGCACACAGCATGCATGCTCCCACCCCAAGGCCTTTGCACCCGCTGTTCCCACTGCCTGGGACTCCCTTCCCCAGATTTTCCCATGCCTCTTTCCACCCCCATGCCATGCTAGTCTTTGCTCAAATCACCTTTCCATAAGACTTGCCCATAGTATATTCCCTGCTACAAAGTCCTCTAGACCTCACCTTGGGGCATCCCTTATTCCATCCTCTTTTCTTCATAGGACCATGCAATGTTGCATATTTATTTTTGGTCTTTTTCCTCCTGGATCAGACACCGAGAGGAGGTCTTTGAATACCTATCTACTTCACTGACAGATCTGAAATGGCTGGTGCTGACTGTGCTGGACAGCAGAGCTGGCCCAGCCATATATTCTACTAACCATGTTTACCTCTGCAGCTGGTACGTCAGACTAGAGTGAGTGGAAGAAATTTTAAAAGGGGGAAGTGAAATGGCTCAGTGGGTAAAAGCACTAACTGAGCCATTCTGGTTAACAATCATAAAGCCAAAGAGCCAGACGCATGACTGGTGAGATGGCTCTGTGGGTGAGGGTAACCGCCACCAGGCCTGATGATGAGTTTCATGTCCAGACCCTCCCACCAGGAAAGAACTGGTTCCTGCAAGTTTTCTTCTGACCTATGCCCATGTGCCCCTCCCACTAAATACATAAATATGTCTTTTAAAAAAGCTGGATTGGGGGTAAACACCCATAACACCAGTTCTTCTATGGTGAGATGGGAAGCACCCGCTGATCAGCTAGCCTGGAGTATAAAGCACGGCAGAAACGAGGCTGGAAAGAGGGCTGGTTCTGAAACTTGTCCTCTGACCTCTACACACTTAAGTCAATAAGTTTTCTTCCTTCCTCCCTCCCTCCCTCCCTCCCTCCCTTCCTTCCTTCTTTCCTTCTATTTCTCTCTCTCTCTCTCTCTCTCTCTCTCTCTCTCTCTCTCTCTCTCTCTCTCTCTCTCTGCTTTTTGAGACAGAGTTTTTCTATGTAACAGTCCTGACTGTCCTGGAAACTCACTCTGTAGACCAGGCTAGCCTTGAACTCAGAGACTGCCCGCCAAGTGCTGGGATTAAAGGTGTGTGCCACCATGACCCAGCCTATAAGTAAATTTTAAAGAGGAAAGAAGATGCCCAGAAAGGAAGTGCTCACCCAACTGCAATGAAAGACCCTATCTCATAATCAAATAAAACAATACAATAAAAAGGCAAGTGTGTTAGGGCTGGAGAGATGGCTCAGCAGTTAAGAGTGCTGGCTGCTTTTCCAGAGGACCCGAGTTCAATTCCCAGCAACCACACGGCAGCTCACAACTGTCTGTAACTCCACTTCGAGGGGATCTGACACCCTCACAGACATACATGCAGGCAAAACACCAATCCACATTTAAAAAAAAAAAGGCAAGTGTGTCATTAAACTCAAGGTCACCTTGGCTTACAGCATGAGTTCAAGGCCAAACTGGCAAACTAAAGGAGGATGAGTAGGTAAAGGCATCTGCCACCAAGCTTGGCAATTCCAATATCCAGGACCTACATGCTAGAAGAGAACTGACTCTCCTAAGTTTTCTCTGACTCCATGAGACCCCACCCCCACAATAAATAAATAAATAAAATGTAATAAAAGAAATTTGGGCTGGGGAGATGTTTCAGTGGGTAAAGGTATCTTGCTATCAAGTTTAAGAACCTAAATTCCATCCCCAGGACCCACGTGGTAGAAGGACAGGTTGTCCTCTGGCCTTCATGCTCATGCCATGACTTGTGTGTACCTACATTCTCTGTCTCTGTCTCTGTCTCTCTAAATAAATGCTTTTAAAAAATGCAGAAGAAATAAAAGTAAAGAGAGCTGGCAGCGTGACTTAGTGGTAAGCGCACACCTAACACGTACACCACAGGCCCTGGATTCAATATCCAGTTGTATAAAAGAAGAGGAGTTAAACACAGCCAAGGCCCTCCCACATCTGGGGATAAGCAGGCTCCTACCTCAGGAGGTGTGACCTCGGGACACTTCTCCAGGGCACTGTGGTGTTTGGGGTCTGGGCTGGAGTCTGAGGCTATGGTCAGGGGCTGTGTGTCTTGGGCAAGAAGTGAGGCTGGGTGCTGGGGACTGGATTCGAGGAGTGCAAGAGCCAGGCCAGGGTCTTGGGTCAGGGGCTCAGAGGCCAGAGGGAGCTCATCCACTCCAAAGATCTGCTCATAGTGCACAATGAGGAACTCAACAAGCTGAGCCTGGTGACTGGAGTCCAGAAGACAGGCCATGGGACTGGCACTGGGGGCCCTGGGTCCATCTGGTGGCCGCAGCAGCGTAGGCCCAAACACAATTCCCAAGTTGTTGGCAGACATCTTGTTTTCTTCAAACCGAGCTGCCACCCTGAGGATGATGTGCGGAGAAGGGTCAAGCGGGGAGTTGGAGGAGAAGGGTAGGACCTGTGGGCTAGCCTGGTGACTTGGCCAGGCCACAGGAAGTACTTTGGTCACTGTTTGAGACCAGTTAGTTCACATGGATAGTATCAGGGTTAGGTGTGGGTATATAGGGTTCTGAGCTCAGAAGAAATATTAAAGGTCAGAGGTTAATTTGAGCCACATAGGTAAGCAGCTACGTGTCTAGGGAAAGAGGGCCATGATTCAAAGCTTAGGGACCCATGCACACCTGAACAGATGGGCCACCAGGTGCCGCAGGGTGCTGTAGTTAGAGTCAGGCAGCTGCACCAGGAGGGTCTTCAGCGAGTGGATAACCTCAGGGCTGGGGCTGAGGGTCCCAGGGCTGTCCCCAGGGTCTGCATGCAGGGTCTTTGCCAGAGAGATGAAGGCGTCGTAGAAGTGGAAGGGGACCACGGGGTCAGTGAGCTGGTGGGGACAGGAGTGTGGGTGGGCTGATGAGGGTCCTGAGCCAGAGGCTGCATGGCTCCTGCCCACCACCTCAGGCCTGGAGCCACCTACCTCCTGAAGAAATCGCTTGAGGACACTGGTGATATCATGAGGAGAGTTTCCGGACAGTTCAACCAGTGCTCGGCCATTCTCAAAGGCCTGGCAGAGCCGCTCCACACGCACTCGAGACCCACTGACCCGATAGATACCCTGCAGAGTAAGGGATACCTCGTTTGTGATCTGGCCATCAGTGGGGACAGATCATTTGTGGCGACAATCCAGAATGAAGATGGCGCCTACCTGTAGGCCAAGGGCACGGTGCTCTATCTCAGCTGTGCATCGGGTGACCACAAAGGGCACCTCCTCAGGGAAATCTCTGGGGAGTTGTAGGAAGTCAACCCCAAAGAGAGGCATCCGGGCTGGAAGCCGCCGATGTCCACAAAGGATGAGGAGGGTCTCCAGGCAGCGCTTGTGACAGGTCAAAAAGCACTGGGGGCAAGGTCACAGGGTTAGGAGAGAGCTGGGGACAAGAAGGTCATCAGGTCAGCAGGGGTGAGAAGATCATCAAGAAAACCAGGGAGTGGAGAATGCTAAGAGATGTTAGACCTGACCAGTGACATGGTTCAGCAGTTAAAGGTGCCTGCAGCCAGCCTGACGATGATCCCCAGGACACACACACACACACACACACACACACACACACACACACACACACGATAAATAAACAAACATCAAGATTGAGAGAGGTCATCAGACAAAGGCAGGCTGGAGGGCAAAGGGGCTGCAGGGATCTGGGTCAGTGTGTTTGGTGAAAGTCAGCAGAGGTCATTAGGTCTCCAGTCCAGGCCACACCTCTTCACACTCTGTCCCGCTGACCATGAAGGCTTCACATTCTCTGCACTTGGCTGGGCCACGCAGCCGCCGTAGCCGGTGGGTCTGAGCGGCTGTGGACAGTGTCCACTTCCTGAAGGGGCTGCCTAGTCCATTCTCCATCCCGTCCCCCAGGTCTGCAAGGAGGGAGGTCAGGGCTGTCAGGGCCACCCTGTTGTCCCTGTGAACCCACCTGCCCACATATGTCGGGCCTTACCAGGGTCTCGCTCCTCAAAGTCATCAGAGGACTCAGTGCCTGTAGATGATGCCTTCACAAGCCTCCGAGTGCCAGCGCCTGGGGTCAGGGGGCACAGAGGTAGGATCATTATGGTGGTCATGGGACAGGCTAGGTCTAAGGAGGCAGGTTTGGTTTTTAGGGCTTCCAAAAACACCCAGAGATATCCTTGAGAGAAAGGCTCAGAGACGAGAGGCTAAGTCCAGGAAGGGGCCAGGCCTTGTCTGGTGGCTAAGAGGAAACTTCCACCAAGACCGTGGGTCAGCACTTGAGGATCAGGGGTATGGGACAGATCAGAGGCCAAAAGATAGAATGGAGATTAAAGGTCAGTGCTTGGCTAGGAGCTGGAGGACAGACGGTAGGAAGGTACAGGTATTTGTGGGCAGGGAAGGGTCAGGTCCTACATTCACCTGGGCTGGAAGTAGGGGAATCCAGAGACTGGGATTCATGACCACCACCTACACTGTCCACATCACTGCCTGGAGTAGGGCCTGGCATCCCTGGGAGAGAATAGGTCAGTCAGGCTGGCCCAAGTCCAGGCCTTATACCCACCAGGCCCCCATGAACTTACCCTGGCTGCCTAAGCTGGTATCGTCCCAAGGGCCAGGCTCGGAGGAACCCTCCTCCAGCCTTGCATGTAGGGGCCCTGAAAACTTCTTTTTTGTGTCCTGAGGGGAACTGGGAGAGAGAGATTTGAGGGCTTGGTCCCCAGGAAGATGGCCTGGGTGACAGCAAGTGGGCATAGCATCTGGATCCCAACTCCAAAGGTTTGCAAGCTCTGGTGTCCAGGGCCATCTTAGCCCCATAAGGGTCCTAGCCCCACCACCCTAAGACTGGGGTAATTCATCAAAAGTCCCCCATGATCCTGTAAGTACCCCTAAAGAAAACCATTGACCCATTTCAAAGCAAACAACACAGGAAGGGGCTGGAGAGGTGGCCCAGTGGCTGTGAGTGTTTGCAGAACCCAAGCTCAGTTCCCAGCACCCACACATGTGGCTCACAACTGCCCCTAAGTCCAGCTCCACAGGCTGATGCCCTCTTCTGGTCTCTAAGAGTACCTGCACACAGGTGGCATATACACATACATCTAAATAGAAATAATTCTTTAAATAAAAAGACACTAAGTGAGTTCCAGGACAGCAAGAGCTACATAGAGAGACCCTGTTTCAAAAATATCCCAGGGCCTGGCAATGGTGGTGCACGCCTTTAATCCCAGCACTCGGGAGGCAGAGGCAAGTGGATCTCTGTGAGTTTGAGGCCAGCCTGGTCTACAGAGGGAGTTCCAGGGCAGCCGGGGCTATGCAGACAAACCCTGTCTCAAACAAAACAAAACAAAACAAAACAAAACAAAACAAAAATCCTGAAGACTTATTAAAGAAATGGGGACTAGTTGGGAGAGTAAGGGATTCAGCCGGGGTGGAAGGGAGCAAGAGAGGGTATCAGAGGTGAACATAACCAAAGTATATTATATACATATATTAAAACCTGGCATCGGGCTTCTGGGCTTACTCCAAGCCCAGCGCTAGGGCCCACCTGTGCACCACAGGTGTGAACTCCTGGAAGCAGAAGGCAGGAGAGGGCGGTGGCGGAGCCCCAGGCTGCAGTGCTCGCACAAACTCCTGGTAGCGCTGGCCGGGCTCAAAGGGTGCACAGCACTCAGCCAGAGCAGAGAAGGCACGAGGTCCTCGCTCTGCCTGTGCCCCTCGCAGCTCAAACAGGCCCAGCGTCACCTACAAGCATGGAGAGAAGCATAATCTAAGAAGACTGGACCTGGATTGCTGGGGTATGGTGGGGCCTAACACTTAGCAATAAGCAAGGCCAGTGTTTGAGAACAGGGTCTGTCAATGGTAGGCTGTAAGGGGGTGTCATCAGGGTATGGGGCCTGCACTAATGATGGGTGTCCTGGGGCCTCAGAGATGGATTAGGGGCAGAGGAACGGAGTATTTATTTACTCAAGTGCAATGAACCACGGGTGACCGTGGGGGAGGGCCTTACCCGCCTAAGCACTTCGTCTCCTTGCAACACCAGCTTGCGTACATGTGACACTATGCGCTGCTTGGTGGTCTCCAGATCCTGCTGGCGTGCATTGGCCTCCCGAACACAGGCCTGGTATAGAGCCTCCGCCTCTTGTGCCTGGGGAAACCAAGGCAGAGACGGCTTAAGAGGACTGGAGTTGGGGAGAGGAAAGTAGGCAATGTTAGGGGTTCTGGGTAAAGGGCCTCCACCTTGGCCTGTGCCTCCTCTCGGGAGCGCCGTCTGCGCTCCTGCTGCTTGCTGGATCCGGGAGACGCCTGGGGAGGAGGGTCCTCAGGGGACCCCTGGGAACGTGCCCACAGGTCTTCTCTGCGTTGAGTGTACTGGAGCTGGGCGCGCCGCAGTGCCTGCACTGCCTCATTCTTGGAGGCAATAAGAGGACCTTTATAAGGCCTCGGTCTGCCGTCTGCAGAGGCCTCCAGTCTCTGGTGCAGGGCCCACCTGCGCAGGGCCTTACCATGCGTTTCTGCTCCTTCAGCCACTGTTCCTTGAATTCCTTCCTCCACTTTTCAATTTCCATCCTTTTGGCTGCTAGAGGCTGCAGAGTGGAGGATAGGGATGGAGAAGCAGCTTCAGTACTCCCCATTCGTTGTTTCCTGTCCCCCCCATCCCCACTCCCACCCCCCGCATGGGCTCTACCTTAGACACCACCACCCACACCTCAAACCTGAACCCGTTCCTGAATCTGCTGTTTCAACCAGGCCTGCTCTACCCTAGGCCCATGTACATGAGCAGAAAGTTGTGTGATCATCCCCTCTTCAGGGACACAGACATCCTGAGGTCTTATTCCTGAGAAATGCCATCCTGACACCCCTACTGGTGTATTCTTTTCAATTAAAATTTTATTTTTATTATTTTAAAATGTGTGAATGTATACAGGCTTGTGCACATGAGTGTGGGTGCCTATGGAGGCTAGAGGCATCAGATCCCCAGGTAGTTGGAGTTACAGGTGGTTGTGGACTCATGGTTGCTAGGAACTCAGGACCTCTTCAAGAGCAGTATGTGCTCTTAACCTCTGAGGCATCTCTCCAGCCCCCTCTTAAATTTTTACTTATTTATTTTGTGTTTATATATGTGTGGGGATACATTCATGCCAGCATGTGTGAGGTCAGAAGGCAGTTGTGGCAGTCGGTGTTTCTCCTTCCTCCAAATGGGTTCCAGGGACCAACCTACACTGCCAGGCTTGGTGGCAAGCATCTCCACCTGCTGAGCCAACTCCATGGGTTCCCTCTTTGTTTTGTTTGTGTTTGCTACTGGGGATTTGAACCACGGCCTTGCATGTGTTAACTAATTCTACTATTGTGCTATATCTCCGGCCCTTCTTTTTTTAAAGTCTATTTATTTATTTATTTATTGTTATTATGTGTGTATGATGTGTGTACATGGGCATACAGGTCATGGCATGTGTGTGGAGGGTAGAGGACAGCATCATGAAGTTGGAGCTCTCTTTCTACCTCTCTGTGGGTTTCAGAGATTGAACTCAGTCCTCAGGCAGCAAGCGCCTTTACGTTCTGAGCCATCTCACTGGCCCTGAAACCATTTTTTTTTAAAAGATGGGTCTTACTCTGAGGCCCTGGCTGGCCACCATCTCAGCGATTCTTGCCTGCTTCAGTTTCCCCAGCGTTGAAATTAAAGGTGTGCACCTCTGTGCCAAGCTTGAAATCAGTATTTCCTTTTTGCTTTGTTTGTTCAAGACAGTCTCACACGTAGCTCAAGCTGTCCCAGAACTCACTCTGTAGATCAGGCTGGTCTGGAACTCAGAGATCTACCTACCTTTGCCTCTCAAGTACTAGGATTAAAGGTGTGCACCACTGCGCCCTCCTATGAAACTGGCATTTCTAAGTGGGAAATTGTTAAAATTTGGGGCTGGAGATATAGTTCTGCTGGAAGAGACTTACCTAGTGTGCTCACGTCATCCTCCTCTCAGAGGAGAGCACCAGTGTGTGTGTGTACGTGTGTGTGTACGTGTGTGTGTACGGTGTGTACGTGTGTGTGTACGTGCGTGTGTGTACACGTGTGTGTGTGTGCGTGTGTGTATACACGTGTGTGTGCGTGTGTGTGTACACGTGTGTGTACGTGTGTGTGTACACGTGTGTGTGTGTACACGTGTGTGTGCGTCTGTGTCTGTGTGTGTACGTGTGTGTATGTGTGTGTGTGTACGTGTGTGTATGTGTGTGTGTGTACGTGTGTGTGTACACGTGTGTGTGCGTCTGTGTCTGTGTGTCTGTGTGTGTACGTGTGTGTATGTGTGTGTGTGTACGTGTACGTGTGTGTATGTGTACGTGTGTGTGTGTACGTGTGTGTATGTGTGTGTGCATCTGTGTCTGTGTGTGTACGTGTGTGTATGTGTATGTGTACGTGTGTGTGTATGTGTGTGTGTGTACACGTGTGTGTGCGTCTGTGTCTGTGTGTCTGTGTGTGTACATGTGTGTGTGTACGTGTGTGTATGTGTGTGTGTATCTGTGTGTGTGTACGTGTGTGTGTGTTTATGTGTGTGCATCTGTGTGTGTGTACGTGTGTGTGTGTGCATCTGTGTGTGTGTGTACATGTGTGTATGTGTACGTGTGTGTGTGTGTGTACGTGTGTGTGTTTATGTGTGTGTGCATCTGTGTATGTGTGTGTGTTTATGTGTGTGTGCATCTGTGTGTGTGTGTGTGTGTGTGTGTGTGTGTGTGTGTGTGTTGCAGTCTCACGGGAATCTGGGTTTGAATCTCAGTGTAGGAACTTTGACAAGATCCTGAGCATCTCTGGGCTCCAGCTTCCTCCTGAGTGGCGCTTGCAGGGGTGGTGGTGCTGAGGATATGCTTACCTGGTGGTAATCTCTCTTCTGCTGGGCCAGCGTTTCCACGGCCAGGGATCCCAGGCTGAGGTCATGCTCCAGAAACAAGGTGTAGATGTACTGGAGTGGCATTTGGCTCTGGGGTAGAGTACAGGGCTGGCTCAGGAACTGAACAGAGAGGGATGGAGGACCTGAGGGGAGGGGGCTGGGCTCTGGGAAGGGATGGTACCTGCTGGAGAACGGACGCCTTGCCGGCCTCAGCGATCTTCATGACACTCTTAGCAAACTCGAGCTCTAAGGGGAGACAGTGGGGTTTGGGTCCTGCAGGCAGCTGAGGTTTGGGTCCTGGTGCCATCAGGGGCTGAGCAGAAGGAAGCCTCACCATAGTTGGCTCTCTTGTCTGTCCAGGCCAGCAGCTCCTTGGCATATCGGCTCCATGCCTTGGCATACTCCAGGGCAGCATCCACACCGCCTTTGGTCCGAATGAGTCGCAAATCTAGTTCTTCCTCTGGGACACATAGGGAAACCCCTGAGCCCAGCCCTCCTGTGGAAGGAAGCCTTCCCTGCACTCCGAGACCAGACCTATGGCTTCTGTTCCAGATGTTCATGGATCCCTAAATCCCCCTTTGGGATCAGTCAGTACCATAATTTACAGATTCTCTACTCAAAACTGGGGAATACTTTAGGACAGGGGCACTGTGGGCTCTGCCCTGTCCCCTGAACCTGGCACAGAACAGGGTTGTGATGCCTTGGTGAAGGAATGACCTCCTCTACCCACCCCCATCCTTGTCTGAAATCCTCCCCTACCTGTGAGGGGTCCAGGACCCTCTGGGGAGGGATCACTCCAACAGCTGGCTTCACTGCACTGGGGTAAGAGGATAAGAGACAGCATTCAGGAGCAAGCAACCCAGGAGCTGGCCTCACTGAGGACCCTGATCCTGTCCCTACCTCCTCATTCACCGCTGTGACTGTGGCAATCTTCTCAGGCTCCAGGTCTTCTCTGAGTACAAGGTCTCCAACCAGGGGGTCAAAAGCCCTGGGGGTGGGGTGGGGAGTAGAGTATGAGAATATGAGGAAGCCATTTCTGCCCAGACTGTCCTTTGTGGGGGAAGAGTTCTGGGGATGCTAGGACAGTTGAAGGAGAAAGGGGGGATAGAGTCTTTGATATTATCTGTGATTTAGAAGGTGTGATCTGAGGATTGAAGGGAGGCAGGGGAAGCTGTGGTTTGTTTTGAGACAGAAGCTCATGTATCCAGGCAGGCCTTCAACTCACTGTGTTGGCCCGATTCTCTGCCTCCACTTCGAAAGTGTGGGAATTACATGGATGCACCACCACCCTGGTTGGTTTGTGCAGTACTATGGACGGAAACCAGGCTTTGTATATGCCAGACAAGAATTTTATCAATTGAACTCCTAACTCCTTTTCCCTTTTGTGATACAGCAGGATGTTATGCACTTGACCACTCAGCCACATCCCCAGGTGAGGTCTTTTCCTAAAAACAGGACGGGAAAGGGCTTGAAGGGCCTTAGGGAGTTTAGGGGCTCACAGAGTGGGGTTATAGCTATTTCAACCATTTTAAGGGATCATGAGGGGTGTGTGTGTGTGTGTGTGTGTGTGTGTGTGTCTCCGGACCACTTTTGAGATACACCCAAACACCTGTGTATCTAGAATGCCAGAAGGCACAGGTGTTTGGGAGTGTCCTAGCTTAGGCTCAGGAGGTGGAAGTCAGTGTGTCCAGATGAGGGGCAGCAGACAGGGAGCTTAGCTAGATTTGGTGACAGGCTCAGACTCACACGTTCCCCAATGATATCTCGAGGTTGTCCAGGCTCTGGAAGATGTCACTGTACCTCTTCCTGCCCTCGGGAGCTGGGGTTAGCTCTGGGGGAGGGAAGTGTAAGAAAACATGAGCCAACCACTGTCTCCCTCCATCCACAGTGGTGGCAAAGCAATCTGCATGCACCTCAACCACTCTCAAGCAGAGGTGGAAGAGAGAGAGAGAAACAGAGACTTGAGTGAGTCTTGGCCTAAGACTAGTAGTGTGGGATGGGACAGTGAGCTTCGGTGGGGTCACTTTGGACCAGACAGATGGACCCAGGCAAAATCAGCGCAGCGGTTGCTCACAGTCACGGAGACACCCACACAGGCACGGACACAAGCCAAACAAGAAAACATGCAGCTGACACACGAATGCCGAAATAAGAGGACTGGCTTGACAATGGAGCCACATGGACCCCAGGGTAGACAGATGGAAACGCACGTGGGACGCACAGACACTTAGCCTGCGGCATAAACACACTGGAGTACGGCTGAAACCACGAGGGACAGGACTGAATGACACTGGACACACACAAAGACAGCCAAAAACATAACCCAGACCTAGTCACAATTCTGCTGCCGCCCCCTAGCCTGATGCCCCTGGGGCGCCCTGCAAGGATCCTGGCCGTGACACCCTGCCCCCATCCATCGTGTAATCAGAAGCAGAAGCGGCCACTTCCCCTTCCTGGGCCCCTTCCCCCAGGCATCCGGGGTGCCAGATCTGCAGGGCAATCGGAGGGCTGGGGGCTGGAGTCTCCTGTGCGTTTCGGGGGGTGGGGGTCTCCAAGGTGCGCAGACCTCCCCACGCCCTTCCCGTTCCAGTACGTCTTTCCCGGCTGTCAGGTAGCTCATGGGTAAGTGAGGCTCCCTGGGTTAGGAGCTGAGGAGCGGTGGAGGGAGCCCCCCCCCCCCCCAGTCCCCACCCTCCTACCTGTCTCCGTAGCGTCCATGGCGAGGCCGGGGGCAGGGGGTGGGGTGGTGAACGCGCAGCAGAGCCGAGATAGAGACAGGGCTGCGCGCCGCCCGGGACCAGCCCCGATTTCCTGCCTCCGCTGGCTCAGTGCTATCGCCCCGCCCCACCCCTGCCACGCCCCAAGATGACACGCCCCTCCCGGAAGCCGCCATCGAACTTCTGATCAGCTCCCAGTGCTCATCCCAGGCTCCCTGTAGTTGAGCCTCAGCGGGCCGGGAGTCCCTTCCGTAGATTTGTGCATCACCCCAAAGCCTGGCAGTACTCCCTGCCAGCAAGCCTGGGTTTCCTGCCCCAGAACCCTGCCCCACCCAGTGACTAGACCAAACTCCCGGCCCAGGCTTTTAGATCCAGGGCGCCCCCTGTGAAGAACTGCTGTTATGAGGAGTGCCTCAGAACCTGCCCAGCACTGTGGCTTTCATGGGTCAGGTTCCCTTTTTTGGAGGGGGCGGGGGAAAGACGTGTCTCACTATTTGGCCTGGCTAGCCTGAATTCCGTGTGTAAACCAGGTTAGCCTCAAACTCAGGAGATCCCCCCCCCTGCCTCTGCCAGCTCAGTGCTGGAATTAAGTATTTGGTTGGGCCAGGCTCTTGAGGTGGTTCCCTTCCGGTGCCGTCAGTGTTCTCAGGGGACTCTTGCACTGGGACCTCCAAGAACTATCCCAGGGTCAGGAGTCCCCCAGCTGCACATGTTTCCCTTTCAAAGGAGACTACCCAGTGGTGGACGACTGCAGGGACAGCAGCACGACGGGCGATGGGCGCGACACTGGAAACCCGAGGTCTCCAGATCCAGGCTGAATGCCCAGAGGGTGTCATTCTCACTCTCCTCCCTGGGCTTGTGGTGATGCCAGGCCTTTCTTTGGTGACCACCTGGCCCCTCCAATTCCCAGGGGCCCTGTGTGGCACAGACAAGTGGAGGCAGGCTTCATAAAATTGCAGATGCCAATTTATTTACCAAAGGCGCTGGCCAGGACTGCTTTCACTAGCCTGGCCAGTGGTTGCCCACAAGGGTCCCAGCTCAGTCTTCCAAGGGCAAGGCGGGGCTGCCTCACTGTGGAGATGGGAGCAGTGTTCCCTCCTGGAGCCATGGGGGGCAGTGCTCCTGCCCAGCAGCAGCCAGGGTAGGTGGTGGATACCAGCACCATCATCTCAGGAAGGCACTTTCAGCTTCGGAGTCCCCAAAAAGAACTGCAGGACACGGTCAGCCAGGAGTGCCAGGCAGAAGTCCAGGGCCAGGACCTGGCCAATGACCAGCTTGAACTGTCAAGGAGGAGGCAGGTGAGCTGGGCCAGTGGCTGGGCTAGACTGGGCTGAGCCAGGGACCATTGCTCAGGGCCACTCACCTCCACAGGGATGTCCACGAGGCCAAACTGGCTGTTGAAGTCCGGAGAGGAACCAAGGAGCAAGCCAATGATGGCCAGCAGTGACACCGCCAGACTCCACACCAGGGGCTTGTTCTCAGGCAGACTCTCCATGAAGGGTGGGCCCTGTGGTGAAAAGAGACAGCTGCCTGGGGAGGGCTGAGCAGGGGTTAGGCCAGGTGGGAATGGGTAGGTATGTGGGGCCTCACCTTGTAGTTGATGGCAAAGGTAGCCATCTGCATGGCCATGGCCATGATGTACACAGTGCTGTTGACCAGGGTCGGCTCAAACTCCTTGTATAGGTCTACAAACTGTTCCTGCCTACAGGGACATGTGGGTGTCAGTACCCCTCTCCTGCTCAGGCACCCTCTGTGGCTTCCCTCTGCCCTGACAGAGAGCCAGGGCCTGCCTGGCTGTTCCTCCCTCCTCTCCTCCTGGAACCCCACTTACTTCTCAGGGCTGCGTGCCTGGGCCTCACGGTACAGGTAGACGAGGCTCAGAAAGTGGACAGAGAACTGCAGCATCACTGTGAGGATGGTGTACAGGTTGAAGATGTTGGGCAGGGGCCGCTCTCGGGAGAGAGTCTTGAGAGGCTGTGGGGCAGGACTGACCGTCAGAGCCAGCTTACTCACTCAACAGGTAGAGAGATGATACTCCTGTCTCCTCAGGCATCTTGTTTCATCCTGATCTTGGGACTGCCTATGCCCAAAATAGTCTGTACTCCATGGTAGCAATGGAGGTCTCCGTCAGGAAACAGATTTACTCTCCCTATTCCCAAGATGACAGTCAGAGCCTAGGGCCTGGTCCAGATTGCTAGCTTCCCATCCTATTAAGGTGGGATCTGAAATGTCCTCAGAAGACCCAGGGAACACGTTACAGTAGGGGATTTGGAAAGTGACTAATGCCTGGACTGAGGGAAGCTTAGATGGTGGGGCCAGCATGAAGGGAGTACAGCCTTGGGGACAATCCCAGGCCTTCCTCTTTTAGCTGCTGTGAGGTGCAGAGCTCTAAATATGAATGGCCTGAAACTTCTGGAAGCCTAAGCCAAGACAGACCTTTTGTTTCAAGGTGTCCCGTGCAGCCTTTCCTCACCCTGATGGGAAGTTGACACACATCCGATGGCCACTGGGACCTCTATTTCGCCACATCAGTGACCAGTACAGACACCTGGTTGTGGCAGCGCCCTTTCCTCAGGAGGCCTCCCTGGCTATCCCTGAGGCCAGCCCCTGAAGTCTGTGACACACTTTCCCCCTCACAGCACTGTGTCCTCTGCTTGCTCTTATTCATCATTTCCTTTGCCCTGGGGACGGTGACCTGCCTGAACCCCAAGCTCACAGACAGTGGTATACCCTAAGCAATATCACTGGCAGCTATCCAGGCTTGACCCTGTCTGCATGTCCTGTGCAGTCTCAGGGACACTCCTGCCTCGGGGCTCGAGGTCTCTGTCTGTAACTTGGGGATGAGAATTCCAATCCACAAGAGCTCTTGAATTGTCCTATGGCCAGCCCTAGGCGGTGCAGGGCCCACCTTGGAGCGTGAGATGAAGAGGAAGCAGCCGGCCAGCAGCAGCCCCTGCAGGGTGGCCTGGAAGTCACTGAACTTGACACCCTCCAGGTAGAGGACACTTTGGCTATATGCCAGGATGAGGGCATTGAGGGCCAGGATCTTGAACATCTGTAGTGTCGTCACCAATGTGCAACGGCCCTGCTTGATCACGTGGCAGACTGTGGGAAAGTAGGGCGTGAGTGGGCACGGTGCTGGTGAGCAGGGCTTCAGGCAGGGCAGGGCTAGGTGCTTGGGACTCACTGCATTGGATGGAGGACAGCTTGGAGGTGAAGGGTGCTGCAATGCTGGCATCTCCCAGCTTCACAATGGGGGTGCTCTCGTCCTCCAGGTCTCGAAGCACCTGGCTCAGGCGGTCCTGTGGGGTGGGCAGCAGGGGTCAGCCCTGGCTAGCAAGGGTTATGGGCATTTCCAATCTGAACACTCACCCTGTGGGAGGCTGGTGGCTCCTCAGAGGACAGGAGTGCCGACCTCTGTTTGGTTGACCTGGAGGAAACTCTGGGGCCACTGTTGCTCAGGACCGGGCTGTCCCTTGGCCGCCGCCGCCGTTCTACAACCCTCTCAGGGGCATTGGCCAGGAGTGCTACACCTGAGAAAGTATTGAGGAGGACTGATGGAAAGCGGTCCAGGGGCAGGGACCAGTGTCCAGCTGCAGAGCTAGACCTCAGGCTGAGCTCACGACCCACCAGTTCCAAGATCTCCATTTCACCTGACTGCCCTATGGGGCCCTCAGAGACTGGCCACCTTGTTTCGCTGGAGAATGGCTTGGCAGATAAAAGCACTTCCCACACATTCCTGGCATTCATGTGAATGTGAAGAGAACCAATTCCACAAGGCTGTCCTGACTTTTACAGCTATGTGGTAGCAGGCATGCGCCTCCACCAGCATGAACACACATCACACAATACTAATAACTGTATTTGAAACACTGGATGAAAAAATGAAAGCAAGTCTGGGGTGTAGCTCAGTGGTAGAATACCTGCCCATGTCCCTCATACCCATGCTCAAGTCCCCAAGTTCAATCCCAGAACCAATTTTCTTTTTTTTCCTGACAGGGTTTCTCTGTGTAGTCTTGGCTGTCCGGGGACTCTATTTGTAGAACAGGCTGGCCTCGAACTCACAGAGATCCACCTGCCTCTGCCTCCTGAGTGCTGGGATTAAAGGCGTGCGTGCGCCATCACTGCCCAGCCTGTATTGTTTTTTTTAAAAAAGCATCACTTTCAGTTTGTAAAGAGAGAATGTGAACAGTTGTTATTTGAAAAAGAAAGTAGAAGCCCCAAGAAGTCGAATGGAGATCACACCGATTCAGGGGTGTCAGAACCATGCTGACACAGGCACAGCTGTGATCCTAGCCCTCGAGGCAGAAGCAGGAGGGGCTTGAGTTCTAGGCCAGGCAACACAGCAAGATCAGGCTCAAAGGAGCACAAAAATCCCATCAGAACCTAAAATGAGCAACTGAAAACTGCTGTCCTCCAAAGAAACTAATTACTTGAGAGAAAAGTCTATGAGGGTTAAGAACTGCAGACAATGCAGGTCAAATGGAAAAGAACAAAGACCAAAGCTCAGCCTTTGCAGTCCAGGGTTGTCAACACTGGTCTGGACAGTGACCTGTGGTAACCATACCTGGTTGTGGGATTCATACAAAAATGCCCCCAACTTCCTCTTTTCTCCTATCCTGTTCCTCATGCCTGTACCCTTCCCTGGCCTTGTAGTCCCCCTCAAGATTTCTTTTTAAAAGACAAGGTTCCATGTAACCAGGCTAGTCTTGCTAAGTATAGGCAAGAATGAACTTGGACCCCTGATTCTCTTGAGCTCTGCCTGGATGAGCACCACTGCCCAGGGAGGTTATTAGTTAAAATTACTTCTTTTTTTCAGTGTTTGGGATGAAATCCAGGGCTGTGTACATATAAGGAAGACCTCTACACTGCGCCACACCCCCGGCCTCTCATTGGAGGATTCTAGGCAGGCGTTCTCCACAGAGCCATACCCCCAGCTCCTCTCCTAAGACTCAAACACCCCTGACTATCTATGAGCAAGAGGGCCAGGTGAGATGCCCACACTAGTGATGGAGACATAGCCCCAGCTATTGGAGCTCACCCACATCAGCATGCTTCAGTGCGCCCACGTCATTGGTGCCATCTCCACACATGAGGGTCACATAGCCCAGCTCTTT